GTAGGCAATAAAAATGTAACAATAAAGAGACATGGCTCAGAATGCTGTTAGTGGTTTCCCCACCCCAAAACAAAAAAATCTTTAGATTCTAAGAACAATTTCAGATTTAGTTGATCAGTAACTATGAGGTGACTTACGATTGAGCAGTAATAAAAAATGAAATGTATTCAGAAAGATATTTTGTTCACCTACACTGCTTGAAATAGCTCTAAAAATATTTCCTATTTAGATATATTTACAAATATTAAAAACTTAATTAATATTCAAGATTTGCAGATTTTTAGACAGTTTTAGTTTTGTAGGAAAGCCTAACTGTTTAGAAGTAATTATAACCTGAGACTAAGTTTTCATATTTGGGAAAAACTTGTATAATTAGTAAAATATTAACCAGATTTTAATTATAGCATCTCGTAGGAAATAAACAATATTTAAAGGATTGACCTTACAAATATCAACATATAAAACACCAAAGTTACACTTCCTCTTTAACTTTTAGGTAAAAATGAACTTACGTATATCTGGTCTGTTAAAATCATGCTCATTTGCTCAAAATGTCCCAATTCCAGAGAAAAGATAAACTTTTCTGTTTTTCTATTCTTCCAGTTGTCAGAATTTTCCAGATTGTCTTACAGTACTTCCTCATACCAGATTCCAGCAGAGGGAAATCTTGCACCTTGCCCTGATACTGTTTTGCCTCAGGATGAAATGTATAAATACCTTTTTAATATCAGTATCTCCTAATGTAAATACCATATGCACCCTTTTCAGACTTTTCTGTCATATCTTTTGATTCTCCTAGTTTTGGTTCCTGCCAATTCACTTAACTGTCATCTATCTAGGGTTCAAGACCACGAGTCAATCTGAACCTCTGTCTTGTTCTAGTCATTCAATAATCTTTTAATGAGAATCTTGAAGCATTAGACAATGTGCCATAATCCTGAACTTTCAGAAACTCATAGTCCAACAGAGTCAACATATATGTAAAAATATACTAGTGAGACAACGTGATGAGCTCTTTAATAGCAACAAGAATAATGTACTTTAGGACTGAGCAGAAAGGATGAGAAGTAAATCATGTAAGATATCAGAGTAGACATTTGAGTGACTTTTTAAAGGTAAGTAAAAGGTACTACTGAGGCACAAAAAGGAACTCTACGAAGACAACTTAGGTGTAAAAATATAAATTATGTTTGGTATGAAAATAGTCTAGTATGGTCAGTGTATTCAGAGGAAAAGGTACATTGATGCTAACACGTAGTGGTGGGAAAACTAGGAATCTGCATGCAAAAGGTAAAATTGAACCTTTATCTTATACAACATACAAAATCACCTCAAAATGGGTTAAGGGCTTAAACATAACGCCTTAACTATAAAACTACAGGAAAACAGGGGAAAAGCTTCTTAACATTGGTTTTGGCAAGGATTTCCTGGTTGACACAGGAAACAAAAGCAAAAATCGACAAGGGGGGCTACTTCAAACTAAAAAGCTTCTGTGTAGCACAAGAAACGATAAACAAAATGAAAAGGTAAACTACAAAATGGGAGAAAATATTTGCAAATCATATATCTGATAAGGGGTAAATAACAAAATACATAAGAAGCTATAATTCAATACAAAAAACCCCACAAAAACTCTCCAAATAATCTGATTAAAAAATGAGCAAGAACTAGAATAGAGTTCTTCAAAGATGACACACAAATGACCAACAGGAATATGAAAAGGTGTTCAACATCACTAATGGTTAGAGAAATGCAAAACCACAATGAGATATCACCTTACATCTGTTAGGATGGCCATTATGAAACAACAACAAACCCACAGAAAATGACAAGTGTTGGTGAGGATCTGGAGAAACGAGTCCTTGTGCACTGTTGGTGGGAATGTAAAATGGTCCAGATGCAATAGAAACCAGTATAAATGGTCCTCAAAAAAAACAGAACTACCTTATGATCCCGCAATACCTGATTTT